CTGGGTTCAGGTGATCCTCCCACCTCTGCCTCCCAAGTTGCTGGGACTATAGGTGTGTGACCAAGCCTGACTAATTTTCGATTTTTTTCTTAGGGATGGGGTTTCACCATGCTGCCCAGGCTGGTATCAAACTGCTGGGCTCAAGTGATCCACTGGTCTCGGCCTCCCAAAGTGCTGGGATTACAGGTATGAGCCACCACACCTGGCCCACCCCATGTTTTGATGCTGAATAGATTCAGGTAGCTTTTTCTTTTTTTTTCTTTTCTTTGAGGCAGAGTTTCGCTCTTATCACCCAGGCTGGAGTGCAGTGGTGTGATCTCGGTTCACTGCAACCTCCATCTCCCAGGTTCAAGCAATCCTCTTGCCTCAGCCTCCCGAGTAGCTGGGGTTACAGGTGCCCGCTGCCATGCCCGGCTAATTTTTTTTTTTTGTATTCTTAGTAGAGACAGGGTTTCGCCATGTTGGCCAGGCTGGTCTTGAACTCTTAACCTTAGGTGATCTGCCTGTCTCGGCCTCCCAAAGTGCTGGGATTATAGGCGTGGGCCACTGCACCTGGCCTCAGGTAGCTTTTTCTACAGACAAAAAATTCTGCTACTTCAAAAGAAAATGATCCATTGACATTAGCCTCCTTAAGACCCAGGTGTATGGTTCTTCATCTTCTTTTCCACTTGATCACCAATTTCCACAGCTGTCTGGGCACTGATGTCAGTAACTACCCAGAGTGGTTGCTCATTTCTCACAGCAATGTGTGGAGGTGATGTGTTTGTTCTTATTTGTTTGTTCATTCATTCATTCTTTTCTCCAAAAGCCCTAGGAAGAAGAACCACTATAGTGTTAACTGTGATGGGCAGAATGGCCCTTGAGTCATCCTGCCTGTGGCCTAACACTTGGACACTGTCACGTAAGAGGCTCCTCACATTTATTCCAGGGGTGTAAAGAACATTCTAAATTACCTGGTAGTTTGGGGGTGTGAGTACATGGAAGCATTTTAAAAAATCTAATTTGTATTTTTTTGGGGACTTTGTGTTCTTTTCTTGTTTCTTATTTTTTTGAGATGGAATTTCATTCTTGTTGCCCAGGCTGGAGTGCAGTGGCATGATCTAGGCTCACTGCAACCTCTGCCTCCTGGGTTCAAGCAGTTCTTTTGCCTCAGCCTCCCCAGTAGCTGGGATTACAGACACATGCCACCATGCCTGGCTAATTTTTGTATTTGTAGTAGAGACAGGGTTTTACCATGTTTGTCAGGCTGGTCTTGAACTCCTGATATCAGGTGATCCACCCACCTCGGCCTCCCAAAGTGCTGGGATTACAGCTGTGAACTGCTGCGCCCAGCCGACTTTGTATTATTTCTGTGTGTGTGTGTGGGCTTACAGAACTCATGGATGCTCATTGTGAAATATTTCAACACTGCAGATGTATGTGAGGTAGAGAGTGGGAATCCTCAGTGATGAGAAACCACCACCCATCCTCAAAACTGGAGGCCACTGTGAATCCTTTCATTCTATGTATAAGACAACACTGTGTGTACTGTAATTTTATAGATGATGTCAATGTAAAATAGCATGAATCTTGTTCTGGATCTCAACTTTTTTCTATGCATAATTAAGTGTATTTAAAATGATTTAAAATAAATTGTGAGTCATACCTCAGCCTTTCTTAACTAGTGAGATGAAATGTGATGTGTCAAAATTGAGTTAAATCCATATTCTCTGTGGATGTGCTTTTGACTTGCACATAAGGAAAAGCAGGCAGGCAAAAGTGAGGCAGTTTCACACACTGTATTGACATTCAACAACGAGAAGGTCAGAGTAGGGAGTTGATGTCAATATGTTCATCCCATACCGCAATAAAGCTGTCCTGGCAACTGCAATCCCAGCTGCCGTTTCCCCTCCTTTGGGTGAGAAATGAGCCAGTCAGACCCTCAGCTCTTTAGCTATGAAAACACCCTGCTTTAAGAAAGGTTTGGTTTTCAATATCAATATGATCTAGGTTTCAGGTTTGGATGTTAAAATTTCCACACCAGATAGGGCTTTATTTGACAAAAACAGTAAGAGATGACAGCTGAGATTTCTGCCACATGAAAATTGCTGAATAATTGCATGGCAGGTGTTGTCATTCTGAATATCATAAAGTGAGTTTAGCTCTCCATTTTGCTTTCCAGTATTTTACTGGGGATGCTTTTCTTGGGGTTATTACTAGCAGTTTTAAATGTTGGGAAAATGTAAAAAGAGAGAGTAGACATAAACGACAATAGAAGAGGTAACACTCACTATAGCACTGCACTACGTATGTTTCATTTTCCCTCAGGAAACTACCCTAGAATAGGCAAAATCCTTCAGAAACAGGAGCCCACAGTGACCTCAAGTCCTATAGACCTACATGTTTTAACTCTGCCAGACCCACTAAGTGCCAATTTTTAAAAAGTCAGTTTGGAAAAAAAAAATGAGAGAATTAAAAAAATTAACAATTTCACCGGTGGTTTCTATCGCTACTCAGTATTACCCAATTTAAATTTTATATTGGTTTCAGATCCATTCCTCAAGCACTTTCACTGAGTGGCTTGCCAGAGGCCATTAGCACACACCCCTAACAAATGGAGAAGCAGTGGCATTCAGATTCAGCAGGAGCCAGACTGGCATCTGCACTCACTCAATTCACTTGGTGGTTGGCAAGCTTCTCTGCACTCTGAGTCGTGGTCACTTCCCTTCAGAATAGAATCTGGGGAACAACCTGAAGGGATCATGATAAAAAAGATTGTCTTTGATGTTGGGTGGGATATGCAAATACAAATGAGAATAGGGTGCCTTAGTACTGTCAGAGTGTGCTGTGTTTTACTTGGGAAATGAGACAAAATCTTTCCATGATCAGCCATTCCATGTGACATCCCAACCCACACTCTGCTACTGACATTTTATCTCCCACTGAACAGCCCGGCTGTTGTAACATTTTCAGGATTCTTAATTTATGTCTTGCAGGATCTAAAATCAGATGGCAGGAACTTTAAGAAAATAACCAGTGTTGACAGGCACCTTATACAAGAAGCGGGTACACCTTAGTGCTGCTAAAAGTTACAGAATATTCTTTACTTTCTTCTTCCAAAATATGTCCAGAAGTCAGTGGGATGGAAACAGTAGCTGTCCTAAATAATTTAATTTCTCTTTTCATTCTAAACTCTACAAAAGGCTTTTTATTTCACTCAGTATTTGCTAGCACCTGGGACTCAAGAAGGCTTATGGCAATGAATCATTTCTTTTGAGGTAGTCAAACTTTTGTCTGTAGAAAAATCTTCCCGAATCTATTCAGTATAAAAACATGGGGTAGGCCTGACATGGTGGCTCATGCCTGTAGTCCCAGAACTTTGGGAGTCTGAATTTGGCAGATCACTTGATCCCAGGAGTTTGAGACCAGCCTGGGCAACATGGTGAAACCCCGTCTCTACTAAAAATACAAAAAATTAGCCAGGCCTGGTGATGTGCATCTGTGGTTCCAGCTACCCAAGAGACTGAGGTAGGAGAATCACCTGAGCCTGGGAAGTCAAGGATGCCGAGATCGTACGACTGCATTCCAGCCTGGGTGACAGAATGAGACCCTGTTTCAAAAGCAAAAAAACAAAAAGGAAATCACTAGTCCCAAACCACTTATCCTTAGAGAAATATGGACATAAACCTAAATCACATGTTCTTTCCATTATATCACAATGCTGCTTTGTAAAGGGGCAACTTTAGGCTGGCTTCTATGAATCTGCTGAAACCTTTGCATCATACTGGCAGTGCTGAATACTTGGGGCTCTTGAACTTAGGCCTGCAACCAGGATGCTGGTGTACAGCCTTGCCCTGGAGTGCTTGGCCTTCATCCTCCTCTTTTTGGAATGTCTTCATATCTATTTATCTGTAACATAGTGCTTAACAGTAGGAAATCTTGAGCCAGATGCCTAGCTCTGCCACTTATCCCTGACCTGAGCAAGTTACTTAGCTTCTCCAGGCATCATTTTCCTGTATGGTAAAATGGAGATTACCTATAGGATTGTTGCAAAGATTAAATGAGTTTAGGAAAGTGCTATATAAAGGTTAGTTATCCATCAATTTGCAACATGTTTTCATAAATGCATCTAGGATATGTTTGTGTAAACCTATGGTTAGATGATGAAGCTAAGAAAAGCCTTGGTCCATCCCTGGAGAGTAAGAAACTAGTATACTCCTTTTACAGGGTACCTTGCAAACAGCACCGGCTTAACAGACATCTTTAAATTGAACTGAAGCGAATACTAGCAGAACTGAAAGTGGTAGTTCCAGATCTTTCAGGCTCAAGGTCCAGATTTTACAAGTGTTTCTGATCACCCTCTCCCTGCCTCATTTATCGCAAAGAGCAGCGGCCAGGAAAAGGATGAATAACCAATGACCTTAAAACTCAGGTCAGAGTAAAAACCAGTTCTGAGAAACTGTATGACATTTACATCCTAGTACCTAAAGGTCACTCTGCATGTGCATTTCCTCTACACAAAGCCCAGGAGGCTATTTTTATATTACTGGGGCAAAAATCCTAACAGCCCTTGGTACTAAACAGCCCTCAGCAGGTGCTTCCAAATTTTTGTATTTGCTTCAACTCCCGGGTTGCCAGGGGAAGCGTGGCCAATAGGTCTATACTCCTGGGCAGACTGAGTAATAGCAGGATACTTCAAGAGGTGCTCTGGGTCGGAAGGAAGTAAGTGAGACTACGATCAAGTAAAGTTTGGTAAAGAGACGCCTTCGCCCCAATGACCAGGCGGTGGCTCCGCAGCACAGACGCTCTCCGCCGGTGGAGGTCCCACCCGGCCTTGACGTAGCCCCGCCTCCACCCAGGCCACACACACAAATCCCGCCCTCTCCCTCCCAGGCCCCGCCTAGAGCCGCCCTTCTTAGAGCCGGCCCCTCCTAGAGCCAGCCCCTGCCAGAGCCTGCCCCACCTGACTCCGACGCTGCCAGGCTTAGTCCGCCGGGTTTAGTCCGTGAAGCGCTTGCGCATTTCTTGAGTTGTCGTGGCACTGCCCAAATCTAATTGGGGGGAAGGAAGGAACTTCATATTTCCTGCAGACTCTGCCACAGCGCCTTTTCGTGCTTTCTTAGAGCTGGTTTTGCCTTTCGTGGTCTTGAGAACCCTGGCTTTTGGTTCCCCAATGTTGGTTAAGTGGGCAGGTTTTAAGTTAGGCGATCTTCGGGCAGCCCTAGTCCCGGCGCTGGGTCTTTGCGCTGAGTCTTGGGACCACAGCCGGGGAGGCGGGGTCCTTCTCTGGGGCGGTCGCGCAAGCAGCGGATGCGGGAAGCCGGAATCCAGGCGTCATGTACTACAAATTTAGTGGCTTCACGCAGAAGTTGGCGGGAGCATGGGCTTCGGAGGCCTATAGCCCACAGGTACGAGTGGCTCCGCGCCAGGTCGGACAGGAGAAATGGGGGTGCAAGCCTCGGCGACAGGCAGTCGCGGCGTTGGAGCCAGGGGAAGGTTTCTGCCCACGGTTGAGTTTGTCTCATTTCTCCTTGCACCTCCCGGGGCCTCTCCACACCGGCGTACGGTGGTCACTGAGGCCCCTCTTTGTGTACCTGCTCACCTGCCGGGGCTGGCCTGGCGTGGAAGTTCGGTCTGGCCCACGGAAGGGGTCAAGGTGACCCTCGGGGGTCTTGCTTCTTCTAAAAGGGATGGGTTGGTGGAGTCCCCAGTATGACCCGAGGTTAGGTCTTCTCCCTCTGTTTGAAGACATCTGGCCTTCGGCCTCCCAGTCGTCCCTTTGTCAGCCTGGGGCAACATAGTGAGACCCCGTTTCTAAAAACAAAAACAATTATTTTAATCTAGGATAAGAAGGACAATTTTTGGGGGGGGTGAGAACGAGAAGGAAGAGTTGAGGGTTTATAAATGTTGAGCTTTTGATATGTCATGGTAGCAGATGGAGTTTAACAAACTTGGGTGCTTTTACCCCATAGGCAGTAGTAGAATCCGTTGGGCAGACTACCTAGGAAGTTTATAGGGAAGAAAGGCTGGATCGTAGTCACAGTATAGAAACATGAAGGGAGGGTGGAGAAGGATAATGTGTTTGAAGAATAGACAAGTGAGAAGGGAAACCAGTGTGTGTCACTGAAACCAAGTTGGTAATGACTTGTGAGGAAGGAATAGTGAGCAGTGTTACACTTATTTCTTTTACAGATTGTGTGGGAAAATGGCCACTTCTATCTTCTGCTTCTATGAAGTGTATTCTTCAATGCATGGATCTTAAATATTACCGTTTGATGAGTTTCGACAAACCTATGCATTGTATAACCACACCTCCCTCAATATACAGAATGTTATATCATCCTAGGAAGTTGCCTTGTACACTCTTGTCAGTCCCAGCCCCCTTCCTATTCTGACTTTTATCATCATAAATAGTTTTGCCCCTTTTTGAACTTCATGTAAATGGAACCAGCTCTTGCTCAGGCTGGAGGGCAATGGCAGAATCATAGAGTACACTGTAGCCTTCCACTCCTAGGCTCAAGCAATCGTTCTGCTTTGGCCTCTGAAAATGGTGGAATTACAGATGTGAACCACTGTGTCTGGCTGCTAGCCTATTAAGAACATATTTTTGAGGTTCATCCATGTTGTACGTCTCAGTAGTTAATTCCTTTTATCCTCTTATTCTTCTGTAGGATTTCATTTTATAAATACATCACAGTTTATTTTGTTGGTGCTAGTAAATGTTCATTTATTTATTTATTTTTTAAATATTTTTTGAGACAGGCTCTTGCTGTGTTGCAGTCTGGTCTCGAACTCCTGGGCTCAAGCAATCCTCCCACCTCAGCCTCCTGAGTGTCTGGGATTACAGATGTGTACCACCACACCTCGTTTATGTTCTTTTAATATATCTTTAGCATAATCTAGGTTTTGTTGCTTAGTAAGAAAAAAGTAAATTTTTCGACCAAAAATGCATATGGGAATAAAACTGGCACTCAGAGCAGAGATTGCCTTGAGATGAGTTTTGTATAGATAGGGCTTTCAGATTTCTGGTACCTCTCCTCTTGAATTGCATTTCTCTTGAGAATTTGAACTTCTTAGTTACTTAAAGATTTCTTAAACTATGTTGAAAAGAAGTGATATTGTGTAGGCTTTATGTGAATTGTAAATTTCAGAGTGATTGTGACAGGTGCCCTCCCAGCTAGGTGCTCTGTCTTTGGTAATTAAGAGTACTTCAGCTTTTTCCTTTCCTGGAAACATATAATGAAGATTTTTGTAACTTTTAGTACTAAGTAAAGTGAATAACATGCATTAAATAACATAATATGGAAAAGGTAGTTCTGTAACAATAGTATGGGTAAAGATTTATGAGTCACCTTGACAGCAAGTAGTTGTTGGGATGGTATTTTCCAGTGGTTGATTGAAAAGCGTCTTATTTATAATTCTCTGAACTTCGTCAAAAATAGAGGCCAGTAAGCACACAAACATGTTTAACATCTTTAGTTACTAGGGAAAAGCAAATCACAACCACAATGAGATACCATTTAATATCCACCAGAATGCCTAGAATAAAAAAGAGAGATGATAAGAAGTATTGGTGAGGATGTAGAGAAACAAAACTCCTTATCGTCTGTCAGAAAGACTCAACTACTAAACATGGTTAAGGTTGAATGGCTGTTAATGAATCTTGGAGGTGGGGCTTATTAGCAGCTAAGAGATTCAGTATTAAAAAGTAAAGTATGTGATTTTTCTTGATCTATGATCCACTTATTTTTTATTTTGAGGCAGGGTCTCTGTCACTCAGGCTGGAGTGCAGTGGCATGATCACAGTTCACTACAGCCCCATCGACCACCTGGGCCCAAGTCATCCTCCCACCTCAGCTTCCTAAGTAGCTGGGACCACAGGTGTGCACCACTGCACCTGGCTAATTTTTTGTATTTTGTAGAAACAAGGTCTCACTCTATTGCTCAGGCTGATCTCGAACTCCTGAGTCAAGTGATCTTCCCACCTCAGCCTCCCAAACTGCTGGGACCACAGGTGTGAGCCCTCATGCGCCGCCTCTCCACTTACGTTAAAACAGCTTTAGGTTGTTTTCTTAGTGCTTTGGGAATTGTAGAAGTTCTGCTATAAAGTGCCAATTTATCAGACTTTGTTTCTGAGATATTCAAACCTACATTGTGGTAAAGCTGTAGCCTTCTTTAGTTTATGTGAACGTTCTGCATTTATTTACTGAATGCGCTTTCTCTGCCAGTTGCTTTTCTAAGTTTAGAATATAGGAGCAGTGAACAAGACATGTCAAAATCCTGTGCTCATGAAACTTCCATTGTAGTAGGAGGAGACACAATAAACAAAGTAAAACGTAGTATGTTAGGTGGTGATAAGTACTGCGGAGAAAAATAAAGAGGGTAAGTTGTTAGTAGGGTAAGGGGGAGGACATGCAGTTTTTTAAAGTGTGGTCAGAAAGATCTCACTGAGAAGGTGACTTATAGGGATGGGTAAAGATCTGAAGAAGGTGAGGGTATAAGCCATGTGGAGGCGTGAAGATGAGCATTCTAGGCAGAGGGAACATGGCTGTTCCTGGGAGGTTTTAGGAGCTAGTTCAGTGGGCTTGGGGAGAAAGAGGGGAATGAGAAGTGGAGCTAGGCTGGGGCACAGTGGCTTATGCCTGTAATCACAGCTCTTTGGGAGACTGAGAATGGAGGATCTGTTTGAGCTAAGGAGTTTGAGACCAGCCAACGTAGGGGCACCCCGTCTCTATGAAAATTTTTTTAAAACAATTAGCTGGATGTGGTGCACAATTCTCATCTCAGCTACTCAGGAGGCTGAGGTGGGAGGATTCCTTGAGCCCGGGAAGTCGAGGCTACAGTGAACTGTGATTGTATCACTGAACTCCAGCCTGGGTGACAGAGCAAGACCCTGTCTCAAAAAATAAAATGAAAAGATAAGAGGGGCTAAGAAGGGGATGCATTTTGTAGAGCTCTGAAAGTCGTTGTAAGATCTTTGGTTGCTCAATGAGATAGGCCTTTCAGAGGGTTTGAGCTGTCTAGTGACATCCTCTGTTTTAATGAGATCATTGGTTGCTGTATTAAGAGTAGATTTTACGGCAACAAATGAGTGGATGCCAAGAGACCGGTTGGGAGGCTGTTGTAGAATTCCAGGGGCTTAGACTTGAGTGTGAATTGGTGGAGGTAGGTGAGAAGTAGTCAGATTCTGAATATATTTTAAAGGTAGAGCCAAAAGGATTTGCAGTGTATGAGGGAGAGGTGTCAAGAATATTTTCAAGGTTTTGGCTGGGTGTGGTGTGGTATGGTTCACACCTGTAATCCCAGCACTTTGGGAGGCCAAGGTGGGTGGATCACTGGCGGTCAGGAGTTCAAGACCAGCCTGGCCAACATGATGAAACCCCGTCTCTACTAAAAATACAAAAATTAGCACTTCTCTCTAAATTAGTGACTCTAGAGGCTGAGGCAGGAGAATTGCAGGAGAATCGCTTGAACCTGGGAGGTGAAGGTTTCAGTGAGCCGAGATTACGCCACTGCATTCCAGCCTGGGTAATAGAGTGAGACTCAGTATCAAAAGAAAAAAAAAAAGAATATTTTCAAGGTTTTGGCTTGAGTGCCTGAAAGGATGGCACTGTTGTGATGAGGAGGGACATGTTTGAGGCTCACAGTCCTTGCAGTCTTGGAGTAGGCAGAGGTGAAGAGATTTATGCCGCTTCCTCTCCTGTAGATAAAGCTTCTTGGTCATTTCCATACTTGAGAAGCCTATGCTAGTGATCCAGCTGCCTTGAAATGTTAGGAATGTTGATTACCTTTTCCTGTGGGACCAAAACCGCAGAGTTGTTGATAGTATGGTGTAATAAAAACATAAGTTTGAATCCCATCTTTCTTAAGGGATCCCTGAGCATTGTTTTAATCACCTGTAACATGGACTGATAATACCTCGTTTACAGGGTTGTTCCGAAGATTAAATTCAACAGAGTGAGACCCTGCCTCAAAAAGAGAAGAGTAAATTTGATAGTTACAAAGACTGTGGAAGCCTGAAAAACTTGTTGTTATAAACAAAAACAGGATGAGGTTGGGCCTGGTGGCTCACATCTGTAATCCCAGCACTTTGAAGGCTGAGGTGGGAGGATTTCTGGAGCCCAGGAGTTCAAGACCAGCCTGGGCCACATAGCCAGACCTGCTACAAAAAAATTAAAAATTTAGCAAGGTGTGGTGACATTTTCCTATAGTCCCAGTTACTCAGGGGGCTGAGGTGGGAGGTGGAGATACTTGGGGGGCTTGAGCCTGGGAGGTGGAGGCTGCAGTGAGCCAGGATCACCCTACTGCACTCCAGCTTGGGTGACAAAGCAAGAACCTGGCTCAAGGGAAAAAAAAAAAAAAAAAAAAGCATAATGGGCCAGGTGTGGTGGCTCACATCTGTTATTCCAGCACTTTGGGAGGCCAAGGTGGGTGGATCACCTTAGGTTAGGAGTTCAAGACCACGCTGGCCAGTATGGCAAATTCCTGTCTCTGAAAAATTCAAAAATTAGCTGGGCATGGTGGCATGCACCTATAGTCCCAGCTACTCAGGAGGCTGAGACAGGAGAATGGCTTGAAACCGGGAGGCAGAGGTTGCAGTGAGCTGAGATTGTGCCGCTCTACTCCAGCCAGGGCAACAGAGAGTGAGACTCTGTCTCCAAAAANGCCTTTTTTTTTTTTTAAGTTGGTGTTCCAGTCGCCTGTTGAAGAGGCGCCAAGATCTGTGTGTTTTCCCGTGTGGCGACTCACTGCGCTGGCTTAAACAGCGGCACTGAGATTCATGGTGCTTTTTTTGCCATGGAATCTACTGTCCTGGTTCCCTGTTCAGTCCCCTTTTTAAACAGATGAATGGGCGACTTCCCGTGGCTCCAATCGTCAGCCTAACGGGCACCCAGACCAGTGTATTTTGTACAGAGAACCGCTACACTGGGGCGCTGACAAAGCAGCTGCGCAGGGCAAAGCAGCCACGCCAGCCTACACAGCCGCGCTGGCCGAAACAGCCGCGCTGGCGACACATGAGGCTCCTCCGCCTGGGGATTTCCTAGTCTGTGGGCAATAAAAATGTGGTGTCCACTCACCCTCTGCGCTTTCACTGGGAGCTGCAATCCTGAGCTATTCCTAAATGGCCATCCTGGATCGATCCCTCAACATTCTTAAAAAAAGAATTTTCAACCCAGAATTTCAAATCCAGTCAAACTAAGCTTCATAAGCCAAGGAGAAACAAAATCTTTTACAGACAAGCAAATGCTGAGAGATTTTGTCACCACCAGGCCTGTCTTACAAGTTCTGAGGGAAACAGTAAACATGGTAAGAAAAAACAGGTACCAGCCACTGCAAAAACATACCAAATTGTAAAGACCATCGACATTATGAAGAAACTGCATCAACTAATGGGCAAAATAACCAGCTAGCATCATAATGACAGATCAAATTCACATATAACAATATTAACCTTAAATGTAAACAGGCTAAATGCCCCAATTAAAAGACACAGACTGGCAAATTGGATAAAGAGTCAAGACCTAACAGTGTGCTGTATTCAGGAGACCCATGCCACATGCAAAGACATACACAGGCTCAAAATATATGGATGGAGGAATGTGTACCAAGCAAATTAAAAAAAAAAAAAAAAAAGCACAGGTTGCAATCCTGCTCTCTGATAAGACAGACAACAAAGATCAAAGAGACAAAAAAGGGTATTACATAATGGTAAAGGGATCAATGCAACAAGAAGAGCTAACTATCCTAAATATATATGCACCTAATACAAGAGCACCCATATTCATAAAGCAAGTTCTTAGACACCTACAAAGAAACTTAGACTCCCACACAATAATACTGGGAGACTTTAACATCCCACTGTCAATATCAGACAGATCAATGAGACAGAATATTAACAAGGATATTCAGGACTGAAACTCAGCTCTGGATCAAGTGGACCTAATAGACGTCAACAGAACTCTCCACCCCAAATCAACAGAATATACATTATTCTCAGCACTGTGTCACACTTATTCTAAAATTGACTACATAAATGGAAGTAAAACACTCCTCAACAAATGCAAAAGAACAGAAATCATAACAAACCATCTCTCAGACCACAGTGCAATCAAATTAGAACTCAGGATCAAGAAACTCACTCAAAACCACACAACTACATGGAAACTGAACAACCTGCTCCTGAATGACTACTGGGTAAATAAAAAAATTAAGGCAGAAATAAAGAAGTTCTTTGAAACCAAGGAGAACAAAGACACAACGTGCCAGAATCTCTGGGACACATTTAAAGGAATGTCTAGAGGGAAATTTATAGCACTAAATGCCCACAAGGGAAAGCAAGAAAGATCTAAAATCAACACCCTAATGTCACAATTAAAAGAACTAGAAAAGCAAGAGCAAACAAATTCAAAAGCTAGCAGAAGACAAGAAATAACTAAGATCAGAACAGGTCTGAAGGAGACAAAGACACCAAAAAAAAAAAAAAAAAAAAAAAAAAAAAAAAAAAAAAAAAAAAAAAAAAAAAAAAAAAAAAAAAAAAAAAAAAGTAGGATTTTACACTGTGACTATAAAGTTACTAAACCTGAATAAACATTGGAGGAAAATGTACAATTTATTTATAACAATTAATGGGATAAGATAATGAGATTATAGGTAACTTCAATTCTATAAACTTTTGCAATATAAAGGGAAATACGGAATTAATTTAAAATTAGCTGGTTCATTTGCCTGTTTTCAGATGATATTGTTCAAAAACTTTGCTGTAGTTTTGAATCGCTGAATGGTTGGACAAAACAAATAGAATCCCTTCAAAAAATACTCTCACATTAGTCCTGTCAAAACATAAATTTACTTTCAAACCATTTTTGGAGATCCTTGTTAGAAAAGGTTTTTACATTTTTGCATTCAAGAAGAAATGATCATTTCAAGGAGGAAATGTGGTGTGCTCACGGAATGATATAAAGGAGTATCTGATATTCTTCATCCAGTTCAAACCATGATCCTTGTTAGCCTTTTTTTATCTCGGTAGAGCCTGTTTCCCTCGCTGATGCCTCTGAGTCTCTGTTTTGAGTGTGTTATATTTCTAAATGTAAGCCAACATCTTTCTCACCAAACTTTCTCTTTAAATGGGTTGTTTTCAGGCAATAGTTGATGGGAGGATGGGGTGTTAATTGTGGAATACTTAACAGCCAGGGCTTTGGACTTGAGAGAGGCTTGAGTTTGAAAACTTGACTTGCTTTTTGCTATTTGATCTAAGTCAAGTTATTCTCTCTCCAGGATTTTCCTCTGCAAAATGGGAATAGTAATATCTTCATAGGGTTGCTTTTAGAATTAAGTGAGGTAATGCATGTGAAATGTTTAACATGATACTGACATTTTACAAGGGTTAAATAGATACTAGCTGCTGCTGATTTGTAATATTAATATTCATGGTGGCTGAAATTGTGGCTATCTTATTCATTGTGTATTTTTAGTATAAAGTAAGTGATCAGTAATGTTGAATGAATGAATACATGACAGAAAACAGGCCATGGTTCATTCCCATTTACTGTACTGTGTCAGAAGAAATAGAAGCCAAGTTTACTTTAATGCTTTTTGTATTGACATGTTCATCTAATGCTTGCCTGGTGGGAGTAGCATTGAGGTTTTCAATATCTAATCTTTATAATAGGCCCTGTCAATTACAGGTAAATTTAGATTTCTTGGAGACAAGAATCAGCGGACTGATGACTATATTTGGGCAAGAGGTTTCCTTCTTTGTCTGTAAAAGGAAAAGGCTGGTCTTGAATTCTGCTTTCTGACTTTAAATTTTTATTTTTCTTATTTAAAATGTAATATAAAAGGATGATTTTTATTGGTTTATAACTCTTAGCTCCTTATTTCAATTTGCAGGTTATTTTGGATAACTGTATATTTGTCACTGTAGGTTTACTCCTTTCAGATAAAAAACCAGAGCTCCCCGCCACCTTATTTTTAAGCAACTGTATTGAGATATAATTTGCATAGCATGCAATTTGCCCATTTAAAGGGTACAATTCAGGGGTTTTTAGTGTATTCACAGATATATGCAACTCCCACCACAGTTAATTTTAGAGCGTTTTAATCACCTAAAAAGAAACCTGTGTACCTTCTTTTAACTATTACCTCCCTAGCCTCCAGGCCTCACCAGAAGCAACCATTAATCTATGCTCTGTATCTTCTGTCTCTGTGGTTCCCCCTTCTAGACTTTCCTGTGAATGGAGTCATATAATATGTGGTCTTTGTGGCTGATTTCTTTGACTCAGCATAATGCTTTAAAGGCTTATCCATGTTGTAGCATGTGTCAGTACTCCCCACTCCACCTTGTTTAAATTTTTACTGTATGTGTTCTCAATTTATGGTTTCTTTATGCTGAAAAGTTCATTTCAAAATTTTTTTTTGTTTTGATTTTGTTTCTGGTCCTGAAAGGCAAGTTTTGTTTGTTTTAAACCACTGAGGCTGTTCTGCATTGAATTTTTCTTTATTGTATGTCTAGAAAAGTTTCTGAAGCCTGCTCTAGGGGCAGACAGATCCCTCATGAAAGCTAATGAAAGGTTCATAACAGATTATAAATGTTTTACTGGTTTGCTAAGAAGATACTAGGTATTTCTGGAAGCTCAGACTGGACATTTGTTGTCGTCCCCCTGATCCCCACCCGCCCCCTGTAATCATTACGATAGGGGGTTCTTTACTGGGTTTGCTCTGGGAAAGTTGGAGAGAGACTGACTTCCTGTCTTGTGGTTGAATGGCTGCCCTCACTATTTCACAGAGCCTGCTCAGACATACTTTCAACTTGCCATTTTCCTTTTTTTCCCTACAGGGATTAAAGCCTGTGGTTCCCACAGAAGCACCACCTATCATATTTGCCACACCAACTAAAGTGACCTCTGATTCCACAGTGTATGATTATGCTGGGAAAAACAGAGTTCCAGAGCTGCAGAAGTTTTTCCAGGTGAGGGAAGATACTCTAGATAACAGAGAAACCTGTGAAATAAATAGGCTTAAAAAATCCGTTATGAAACTAATTCTTTTTTTTTTTTTGAGACGGAGTTTCACTCATGTTACCCAGGCTGGAGTGCAATGGCGCGATCTCGGCTCACCACAACCTCTTCCTCCTGGGTTCAGGCAATTCTCCTGCCTCAGCCTCCTGAGTAGCTGGGATTACAGGCACGCACCACCATGCCCAGCTAATTTTTTGTATTTTTAGTAGAGACGGGGTTTCACCATGTTGACCAGGATGGTCTCGATCTCGTGACCTCGTGATCCACCCGCCTCGGCCTCCCAAAGTGCTAGGATTACAGGCTTGAGCCACCGCGCCCGGCCGAAACTAATTCTTAATCTGGTTTACTACCCAACCTCCTCCTTTTTCTTTAAGTAGTAGTCTCTTGATTTTAGTTTGAGACATAACTGAATAGAACTTTATGTAGATAAATATTTTATATAGATAGATACTGATAAAAGAGGGGAGGGTGGTTACTTTCCTCATTAGTATTTAAGGGTATGAGTGTTTTGAAATGGCATAAATAGCACTTGATCATTTATTGCATAGAAGAAGCAATAGCCTGTATAACTGAATAGTTCAATATATACATATTTGGCTTTGTGACACATGCAGTGACTTGGCAGTGAGTTTTTTCCCAATTGTTTTTGCTTGCTTGATATTAACATTCACTAAGCTGTTGCTGAAAGTAGAAGAGGAGCTTACAGGTTTGCAGATCAACAGAGAAGCCAGAATCGGAATTTAAAATATTATTAATCTACCTGCAAATTCTATCTGACCCAATCTTAGGTGCCATGGGAGTGACAGTGCTTGCTACTGCTATTGCTGTAAGGTAGCTTCCTCCTCCTCAAAAGTATGTCCAGATTCAGACCCATCTTGAGGATAGAGCACTTTAGTTTTGATCAGTTTAATTTCTTTTTTTCCGATAAGTAAGGTTTGAGAGAGCATTTGGGATCTCAGGGTGCAGTGGAGAGGGATTTTGGACACTGCAGAATTTGAGTTAAACAGGCCAGGTATGGTGGCTCACTTCTGTAGTCCCAACACTTTGGGAGGCCAAGGTAGGAGGATTGCTTGATCAGCCTGGGCAGCATAACGAGACCCTGTCTCTACAAAAAAATTAGCTAAGTGTGTTGTTATGTGCCTGTAATCCCAGCTACTCCAGAGGCTGAGGCAGGAGGATCACTTTAGCCCAGGATTTTGAGGCTGTAGTGAGCTATGATTGAGCCACTGCATTGCAGCCTGGGTAACAGAGTGAGACCCAGTCTCTGAAATGATGATGATGATTTAAATATCTCATGGAATTTGATTATTAAATGGGTCTAACTGTGTGATGGAAAGAAGGCAGTTCAAATACAAAGTGGACTTAAATCTATTAATTGACCTGACATATTCTGACCTTATCTACTCATGATCAGAAGCCAAACTAAATGGAGAACGTTTTTTGTGCCTGCACCTCTTTTTTTCATTTTAAAGACAGAATGGAGACCATTTCTTGTGCCTGCACCTCTTTTTTTTTTTAAGACAGAGTCTTACTCTGTCACCCAGGCTGGAGTCCATTGGCACACTCACAGCTCACTGAAGCCTTGAACTCTTGGGCTCAAACGATCCTGCCACCTCAGCTTCCCTAATAGCTGGGACTACAGGCATGTACTACCACAGCCGGCTAATTTTAGTTATTTTGTAGAGACAGAGTTTCACCATGTTGCCCAGGCTGACATTAAACTCCTGGGCTCAAGCCATCTGCCTGCCTCTGCCTCCCAAAGTGCTGGGATTATAGGTGTGAGCCACTGTGCCCAGCCTCTCCTGCACTTCTTTGTTAGCTACTGATTACCTTTACCTTTTAAAAAATTCACCAGTCCTCCAGTTAAGCAATATATGATAAATGTCAGACATTTGTAATTTTTTGCATGCATTTCCCTGTGGCAGCATTGTGGAGAATAACTTTGGATTTACAAGCTTTAGCTACATTTATAGGAACATCTACTAGTGTTTCAGTTAGCATTCTATGTATTAGGGCTTTTCCCACTGTCACGTGTTGATGAATTAGTTACAGAGAAGACAAATTTGTTTTTTAAGAATAAAATTATAAAATGCTTTTCTTCTCAACCATGCCCTTGTTAATTCTTTCTTTCAAGAAAGCTGATGGTGTGCCCGTCTACCTGAAACGAGGCCTGCCTGACCAAATGCTTTACCGGACCACCATGGCGCTGACTGTGGGAGGGACCATCTACTGCCTGATCGCCCTCTACATGGCTGCGCAGCCCAAAAAATGAGTTAGGCTGCAGAGGACTGGTTTGTTTTTTTTGGCATAAACCCTTTGAATTTCGTTTTTCATTGTTAATTTTTTTTTTTTAACTTGGATAGCTTAACATTTTTAAAAATGCAAGAAAAATAGATATGAAGGCGATATTTTGGTTTGTTTATGAAATGCATATGGCTTGTCAGAGCTCATTCCACAATTAAAGCCATTGTTTAAAGAAACGGTGCTGTGCTCTGTGTTTGTGCTCCTGATTTCCCTGGAGGTTCTGGATGAAAGTTGCACACAGACTTATTAATGTCAATCTGTGCCTCAGGGACTTGAGGTTGCGTTTTTGAGCATGGGGTGCAGAAGCCTTTCTGGATTTGGATGTGACTGTGGAAAGAATACAGAAGCCAAGGCCATATGCATAAAATGAGGGCTTCGAGTTAGTAGTCACCTCGGGGATTTTTTGCATTTTGCAGTAAGATGTTAAAAGAAGTTATTTGTAACCTGCCTCTGTTCACTGGGCAGTTCATTTCAAAGGGTTATTTGCCTCACCTCCTATCTTCAGTGAAATCTTATGTGTAATTGTGTGTATTTATTCCACCATGGGAACAGAGAACACCTGCTTAGTGTTGCACTTTAGACTGGTGTCTGTTTTATTAATACAGCTTTGCCACAAATTCTCCTTTATCTTTTAAAAATGTTATAGCTTTAAATTATGACTTATTTTGACTGTGGAATAAATACATGAATGAAAAATTTTAAGTTTGAAGTTCTTCGAATGACCTTTCAGAGTAATTTCACAACACCAGCAGCATCTTAAACCTGAGTCTAATTCCTTTCTTGTTAATTAGGCACCAGATAATCTTTACAAAATGGTTCCTAAAAGTCTAGTAATAGGAGTCTAATGGCATATTGATGATTACCATATGGTTCCTTATAAAAACTGCCTGCTGCTTAGTGAAATGTGCCTGTAACTGAGTTCATTTAGACAGGAATTTCCTTTGCTCTCATGATTAGTAGACTTTACTTAGCCTATATTAATTTTGAAAAAATGGTGGAATTTTATTGGATATAAAGGGATGATCTGTATCTTACCATAGCACAGAACAGTGACCTCTTGCTCAGGATAAAATGTGGTGATTGAAAATAGTAGTAGCCTTGCAAGAATATATGTGTATCTCTGTGCAAGTCTAAATTTTGTTTTTCTGTGGTATTTCCCCCAAGGTTTTATTTTGAAAAATTTCAGACTACAGAAAGACTAAGCATAGCCTAATATGCACCTGTATGTCCTTCACTTAGATCAGTAGTTATCAATATATTGGCACCTTTGCTTTTTCTTGTTCTCTCACATAGGCACACGCAATGTATATATGCACACACATTTGGTTTTTGTTGAATCATTTTAGATTGTTATGGAATTATGATAAATCAGCCATAAATACTTTAGCAAGTATCTCCTGAGTAAGAACATGTGTTCCTTTATAACCATAATCCAGTTGTCAGACTCAATAAGGTTAACAATACTACCATCTAATATATAGTTTATTTTCAAATTTCCCCAGGTGTTCCAATAATGAGTTCTTTGTAGTTGTGTTTTTTAAAATAACATCTTTATTGTGATATAATTTACATACTTTACAGTTCACCTAAAGTGTACAATTCATTGGTTTTTACTGTATTTGGAGTTGTACAGCCATAACTAGCATCAATTTTAGAACACTTACATCACCCTAATAAGAAACCCTGTGCCCATTAGCAATCACTTGCCTTCCCTCCCACCACCCCAACTCTCACCTCCGAGCCCAAAGCAAGCACTCATCTACATTCAGTCTCAATTTGTCTTTCCTGGACATTTCATATAAATAGAATCATGATGTGTGATGTGTGTGACTGGCTTCTCTCAGTGTAATGTTTTCAAGGCTCATCCATGTTGTGGCATGGATTGATACTTTACTCTTTGTTATGGCTGAATAGTATTCAGTTGAATGGATATACCACATTTTGTTTTATCTACTCTTCTATGGATCGACATTTGGGCTCTTTCCACTTTGGGGCTGTTAGGAATAATGCTGCTATGAGCAATGGTGAACAAGTTTTTACGTGGACATATGTTTTCATTTCTCTTGGGTGTATACCTAGGAGTGGAGTTGCTGGGTCATATGGTAACTCTTGTGTTTAACATCTTGAGGAACTGCCAGACTGTTTCCAACTCACTTGTACCATTTAACATTTTTACCAGCAGATGCAGTTCATTTTTGGTTTTGTTTTGGGTCCAGGATCCTGCCAAGGATCGTACATTGCATTTAGTTGTTGTGACTCTTTATCCAGAAGAGTCAGTCCCCCGTGCCCTTCCTGATAGTGACCTATTTGAAGAGTCCAAGCAAGTTGTTTTGTAGGATATTCCTCAACTTTGATTTGTCTGATTGTCTCATTGGTGGTTTCAGGTTAAACATTTTTGTCAGGAATTCTTTATAGGTGATACAGTGTCCTTATGATGTCAGATGGCACTTGTTACCAGTTTGTCCCATTACTGGTGATTTGAAGTTGTGTCTGCCAGATTTCTCCCTTGTCAAGTTGTTACCCTTTCCCCTTTGCGATTAGCAAGCAGCCTGAGGGGTGATATTTGTATTTGAGACTAGGAGTATCCTGTCCTTAGCAGGTTTGCACTCTGTGTTCATTGGTCATTCCTGACTGAATTATTACTAAGGTAGTTGTAAAGTGATTTTCTGTTGTCATTCCTTTTATGTTTTTGACATTTCCCTGAAGATGAGCCTTTAAAGAAATTTGTAATATCCTCATTTGATGTGTAATAACCATCTCTGCCATTACCCATTTCAGTGCTCAAATGTGGCTTCTGTGTTCTGTGAGCATCTCCTATCAGTCTTTAGCACTTCCCTACTTTGTGACAGACAAGATGGCTTCAATGCTGAACTTGTGTTTTCCCTACCTCAGTTTCCTCTGTTTATTGTCAGACATATTCTATGAATGTATACATAGATGCATTTTCTTTGCCTGTTTTATTTTTGCCTAAATGGTAGGTAGTATACCTTTCAAATCTCACTTGAGCTTGTTCTGTCCCATTTTTCTACACTGGATTTTATTTTATGAATGTACCATAGTTTAGTCTCTTTTTGAAGGGTATTCAGTTTAAACTTTTTTGCTTTTATAAATATGACTTTAATGCATAGTCTTTAGATGTCATTTAACATAATGTTGAATATATTTATTGGATCATTTCTAGCTGTGAGATTTAGCAGGTGAAGGGGATGTGCATTTCCAATTTCAGTAGTGCTATTCCTTACTAAAAAAAAATGATGCTGGTTTACATTCCTGTCTAGCAGTTTTGAAAGTGCCCAGTTCTTTTTACCTTTGTCTACATAAAATATTACCCCTTTCTGGCGGTGATGACCTACCCACGAGAACATGCCTCTTACAAAGGATCTCCTTCATCCGTCTCCAGAAGAGGAGAAGACGAAACACAAGAAGAAACACCTGGTGCAGAGCCCCAACCCCTACCTCATGGATGTGAAGTGCCCAGGATGCTATAAAATCTCCATGGTCTTTAGCCATGCACTAACGGTAGTTTTGTGTGTTGGCTGCTCCAGTGTCCTCTGCCAGCCTACAGGAGGAAAAGCAAGGCTTACAGAAGGATGTTCCTTCAGGAGGAAGCAGCACTAAAAGCACTCTGAATCAAGGTGAGTGGGAAAACATCTCTATAAACACATTTTGGATAAAGGAAAAAAAAATTACCAGACTTTTTGATCTTTGCCAGTCCTCTAAGTGATAACATTTCTTTGTGGTTTAAATTGCCTTAGTAGGCCCGGCGCCTTGGCTCACACCTATAATCCCAGCACATTGGGAGGCTGAGGCGGGCAGAACACTTCAGCCCAGGAGTTCAAAACCAGCCTGGACAACATGGTGAAACCCTGTCTCTATAAAAATACCAAAAGGGTTGAGGCAGGAGAATTGCTTGAGCCCAGGAGGTCAAGGTTGCAGGGAGCTGAGATTGCGCCACTGCGTTTCGGCCTGGGCGACAGAGCAAGAGCCAGTCTCTAAAGAATTAAAAAAAAAAAAATACTCTGGAGATAAGTGGGCAAAGTACATGAGTAGATAGCTTATTAAAAAAGGAAATAAAATTTACCTTTTAAAAAACGCCAGTTTTTAAAAAAATATTCAACATCACTAATCATTATAAAAAGGTAATTTCATTTTATTTTTTTTTCGAGTCAGGGTCTCATTCTGTCGCCCAGACTCAAGTGCAGTGGCTCCATATTGGCTCACTGTAGTCTTGACCTCCTGGGTTCAAGTGATTCACCTCAGCCTCCTAAGTAGTGGTACTATTGGTGCTGCTGCAACAGGCTTTTTTTTTTTTGGGGGGGGAGATACGAGGTCTTGCTGTGTTGCCCAGGCTGGTCTTGAACCCTTGGCCTCAAGCAATCCTCCTGCCCTGGCCTCCCAAAATGTTGGGATCACAGATGTGAGCCACTTGCCTGGCCCAGAGTACTTGTTGATAATGCTAAATGTCTTGGTCTGTTAGGCTGACTTCCTCAGGAATAGTCTCTAGTGACTCCTGTCTGAGCCAGACCGCTTCTGTTTACAAGTTCCAGAAATTCATTAAAACCAGTTGATATAGAAAGGGGGATTTTTCAGAACCTAAGCAAAGCTGGGCCTCACAAGGACTGCCTTTGGGTCCAAGGCAGCTGTCCTTTATGTCACTCTCTTGATTATGCAGCTGTTTAATTCTGTTTCTGCAGACCAGCTTTCTCTGCTTCTCCTTGCATTTGGAATTGTCATCCAGCTACTGGCAACCTGCTCTAAATTCCAGAAGAGAGAATGTTATTGGCCCATTTGGGTGAGGTATCCCCCACTGGGCCAGTCAGCTGTTTGGTGCCAGGCTGTCGGGGCAGATGCAGGGAAGAAGCCCAGGCTGTCCTCTTCTTGGATCTTAACTGACAGTGTAGAACCTTTCACTTTATTTCAGAGTTAGGATTATGCCTTCTGAGCACATTACTTTGAACCCTTGCCAGGTTGGTTTGTTTACTCAGAGGAAGACCCACCTCTCTCTCACTGGTTTGCCTTTTCTCAGTGCTATCTGGGTGAGATGCTGTTAATACAAGAACATTCCCTCTACTCACCTCCTCCGGGTCATGCAGTTAGGCCAGGATGCTAAGTGCAGTCCTCTTTACCACAGTGCTGTGGGTTGACATGATCCCAGGGCTGTGAAGACTTTATAGGGTACCCAGACAAGGATAACTTAAGGGAATTGTTTTAAGGCACCCTCCATTACATTTCCTAAAATTAAGCTGCTGCAGAGTACACCTGGCTTAAGGGGGTCTTGCATGATGTTCTTTCACTTTAAAGGAAGGCAGACCCTCAGCCATTCTTGTCCCACCAAGTGTGTTGCCCTGGAGAGTGAAAACCATCCCTGGGGCAGTGTGGGAATAAGTGCAAATATTGGTAACATTGAGGAAGTTGTGACTCAGACTGACAATTTTTTTGCAATGTAGAAATTTTTTTTTTTGAGACGGAGTCTCGCTCTGTTGCCAGGCTGGAGCGCAGTGGTCTGATCTCGGCTCGCTGCCATCTCTGACTCCCTGGTTCAAGCAATTCTCCTACCTCAGCCTCCTGAGTAGCTGAGACAACAGATGCATGCCACCACACCCAGCTAATTTTTGTATTTATAGTAGAGACTTCATGATCTGTCCACCTTGGCCTCCTAAAGTGCTGGGATTACAGTGCTGTTGATAGACTGCTCAGGCCAATTTAGAGATTTTTTTTTTTTTTTTTTTTTTAAATTTAGAGATTTTTAACAAAATTGAAGGAGGAACCAATTAAGTTTTCACTTGATCATTAAAAATAATTTGTTTTGTTTGTTTGTTTTTTTGAGACAGTTTTGCTCTTGTCACCCAGGCTGGAGTGCAGTGATGTGTTCTCTGCTCACTGCAACCTCTGCCTCCCAGGTTCAAGTGATTCTCCTGCCTCAGCCTCCCGAGTAGCTGAGATTACCAGTGTGAGCCACTGTGCCTGGCCTAAAAATAATTTTGATAGTAGATCACCACACAACTTTTAGTTATAACTCAGGAGTTCAAAGAATTGTGATTTTGCTATCACAAACCTTCATTCCCTTCTATTTATCAAAGTTTTTCAGTGCTTCTATCTGTAAAAATAAAAATGGGAATGGAATTGGTGCTGAAATGATCTTATTTTAACAGTAAGCAAGATTTATCTATGAAAACCTGAACCATTCTAAGACAGATTTTCTTATACTTTGTTTTGGTCAATTATGTACTAATAGTAATTATAATAATTCAGAATAAAAATATTTCTAACACTTAGAGTTTATGGTCACAGGAAATTTAACCAAATTTCAATTTTAGAGTGTTACAGAGAATTATGTATGGGCAATAGGAGACTTTCATTCCTAAAGTTGTATTACATTAGGATAAATTTTGGGGTATAAAGTTCTATGTATGGGAGTAGAATGGAAATAGACATATAAGCAGAAGTTTGTATTTTTAACCAGATGAAGGTGGGTGTCCAACTGCAGTGGAATTTACATTCCATTGGATACATTTATAAGTGATTTGGCCGGGCGAGGTGGCTCATGCCTGTAATCCCAGTACTTTGGGAGGCCAAGCGGGGCAGATCACGAGGTCAGGAGATCAAGACCATCCTGGCTAACATGGTGAAACCTTGTCTCTACTAAAAATATAAAAAATTATCCGGGCATGGCGGCAGGCACCTGTAGTCCCAACTACTCAGGAGGGTGAGGCAAGAGAACTGCTTGAACCTGAGAGACAGTGGTTGCAGTAAGCTGAGATTGCACCACTACACTCCAACCTGGGCAACATAGCGAGACTCATCTCAAAAAAAAAAGTGATTTAATAACTTAGCCAATATTTATAACACAACAGAAACTACTTTTTGCAACTATTTGAATTTAAAATGAAAAATTCTAGATATTAAGCTTAGATATGCATAGATGTAAATTTTTGTTTTAGGGTACACAAGAGTAAGAACAGTTGAAAATGGCTGCTTTACACTTGTCCTTGTAAAGCAGTGCCACTTACCCCTCACTTTGCTCTTTGTCAGCCAGATTCCCTTTCAGGGTCTGACTTGCTTCCCTCTCCTTCCTGCCCCCTTCGTCCAGTGTGACTTTGCTGTGAAGCTGTCAGGTAAGGTGAAGGAAGGTTGGCGTGGCTTTGATAACACTGGTAGCTTTTGTTTATTTATCTGCTTTTTACTTCCCTTCGTGTGCGTGGCCCTGGGCAGGCTCCCCTGGCTTGTCTGACGTTGAGGTCTGTAAAACCCCATGTCTTTCTTGTGATTTCTACAGCTATCCTTCACCTGTTCTGATCTGGGAGCTCCATGTGACTGGTGGGGTTTGGTGGCTTTACAGCAGGCTGCCCTGGGTGGGGGTGGGGGTGGAGGGAAGCCTGGCTATAGCTGCTGTTCTGGGAACCCATGTCACGCCTTGGTGGTAGCAAGTCAGGCCCTGCAGTGTGGAGGGCAGCAGCAGCTGACCCTGACTCTCATGATGTGAACAAGAGCAGTGGGGGTGGCTCAGCTCCTCCTCAGGTAGAAGGGGAGTGGGATGATCACTTGCAGTCCCCTCTGTCACCAGCTGCTGTCACTGGCATAAGCTGGAATCAGGCCTCCTGACATCTGTGTGGCTGCACGGTGCCCAGGTGTGGCACTGCTGCAAGATGTTTTGGGATGGGCAGGTGGGGCGCAGGTGCTGCTTGCTCAGGGTCCTGAGGCTGCTGGAGCTGACTTCCCCTGGGGCTGCTGCAAAACGTGAATTGGGCGGGGCCTGACGAATGGCGAGAAAGAACATTCTTTAGGTCATATTTTTTTCCTTGAGTTCTGACACAGCCCTCCTGGGACATCCTGCCTTCTCTTGTTCTGACCTTGACTATGACATAGATTTGTCATGGTCACATGGCTGTACCTCAGGGCCAAAGCACAGGTCTCCACACTGCCTAACGTGTACTAGCCAGATTGGAATCTTTGCTGACTCCAAGTACCACATTCCACGCTAACACAGGCTGTGGGAAATGGTGTTGCCTCCCAGTCAGCAGAGAAGGTTGTAGGAAGAAACAGACGCCCGTGGCCTACTGTAGGGCCTTGGAAGGGCTGTAAAGCAAAGCAGACAGAATTAGGGACCTGGGTTTTCCAAGGCAGAGGAGGAGAGGCTGAGACTGTGTGGGTGTACCTGGTGCCTGTGTGAAGGGCCAAGGAAGTAATGGGTACAGAAATTGGGATGGTTTCTGAGGGCATCTTGCTAGGTAGAGAGCTCAAGTCCCTCGTCTCAGCTCTCCTAGGGAGAGGGAGAGAACAGGGAAAGGGCAGCTAGGCTAGGGTGGAAGAGGCAGGCTCTGCTGGTCCCCAGCCGCTTTTAGGGTTCCAGCTATACCAGGCTTACGCTTCAGTTGTGAGAGTGGAGCCCTGAGCTCAAGCATGGAGGCAGTGTGGTTGCTCAGCTCAGACTGGGTCCCTCTCCTTAAGAAGGCCTGGCACCAGTTCCAGAAGTGCCTCGCCTGGGGAAGGTCATACGTTCCAGAATCAGTTCATACCTGGTAGGCTGTAAGCCCATATTCCCCTCCCGCCTGCCCCCTGCTTAGGCCACAAACCCTCCACGTTATACAGCAGATTAATTTGAAAATTGAGTTGCAGCTGAATGAGTTGATGTCAACTTCAAAGTTCAGTGGTGTTTGATTAGAGCTGTCTAGAGACTAGACTTATTCCCAGGAAATGATTCTGACCGAATAATTAAAGTGCATAAAGGTTAGATTTGTGTTTCTGGCCAAATCTGTGTTGCATTCAGCATCTCCAAAACATGAATTCCATTAACCTTTCATGAACCAGCAATAAATTACTTTCAATTAGTTGTCATTCTAATTAAAGTTGAGTTACACAGAGGAGCCTTTGTTTATACTTGGTCGCTGTTCCCTTTCCTCCTCTGGAACTAAGTCCTCTTGAGCAAATGGTTATTTGGAAAGCTGTTTTATAACTTTGCGTCCTCTCACCTATCACTCTTGAGTCAGGACCTGTTCCTGGAGCCGAAGGGAGTAGGTACCCGCTGCAGCAGGAAGCTGGGGAGCACTGCTGGCTAGATTGAAGCACGTGACTTGCAAAAAGCAATCCCATGGCTGTGGGAGAGCAAGGTAAGGAGTGATTGAGGTGGCCTGCCCAGGCCAGGCAAGCTCAGGCAGGCCTTGCGGTGCTGAGTGAGGCATGATCTGCCCAGGTGGGACTTGTGCAGGCGAAGTGTGGTGCCTTCTGGGACACCACGACCTAGCCTATTCTGAGCCTTTATGCCTTGGATGTGAGTGGCCTTGCTCCTGCCAAAGGGTAGATCCGAGTCCTCATCAGGGCCTATCTGCAGCCTCAGTCTCCTAAGAGCCAGCATTCCACGTTCCTCTCTAGTGGCCACAGCAGGAGGGCTTGAGGGAGGACAGAGGTAAACCACTGTGTCCCCCTGCAGGACTCACCCATAACTTGTCATCCAGCATATTTTTTCTGTTTATTTTCTCCATCGATTATGGATGTGACATGTTATAACCAAGACAGAATCTCTAAGCCAGTGCGGGATTCCGCAGGATGGGGCACTTCAGGCCCCTCAAACCCAGGACGCCAGAGGTGAGATCGCTTTCTTTGGCTCCAGGTCTGAACAGAGGTCAGAGGCGCCGACCACTTGCCTCACATTTGCCGTCAGTAGCCCTTAAAGCACAAATCATTTCTTCTGCAGTGTGCTGCACAGGAGAGACATTGAGAAAGATGACCCTGCTCCCAGCCTCCTGCGTTCCCAGACTGATGAGCACTGCCAGAGTGCAGCAGAGTGGCCCAATGACAGGGCTAGGCCCCGGGAAGGCAGAAGGAGGAGTGGCAGGGAAGCTCCTACAAGCTGTTTAACTCGCATGAATAGGTGGTTTCCACCAGAGGACATGGGGAAGGCACGCACCGAGGTGTGAGGGCATTTTGGATGTGCCTGGGGGGCAGGGGAGAGGAGAGGAAAGGCGGGATCCAGGGTGAGAGCAAGAGGCTCAGGCCTCACAGAGCTCCTTCCTGGAGCTGGGCCTGAGAGCTGGACTCTGGCTGGCGAGCAGGGTGTGTGTGTATCGGGGATAACCACCCCATCCAGTAGGGATTTTTTTGTTTTGTTTGGTTCTTTTGAACCCACAGTGGCAATGTGGAGGACAGAATGGAGAGGAAAAAGACTCACAACAATTGATAAGTGTTATGAGAGCTGATGGGAGCCTCGGAGTGATAGCTGAGGGCACGAGAGGAAGGAATGGATCCCAGGGGCATGAGGAGGGCAGAGTGAACCCAGTATGACAACTGCCAATCCCAGGAGAGGGGAGGAGGCCTCAGGGGTGCCCCCAGGACAGCGCAACTCGGCTTCTGGGTGAGCGGGGAGTGGAGTACAGAGCCTGGGCTTACAACAAGGCAGGGCATTTCTTTGGAGAATGTGGATTGCCTATGGGTCCTCTAGGTGAGGAATCCCCATAGGCATTGGGTCTGGGGAGAAGGCGAGGGATCTGGACTGGAGTCAAAACTCGAGACCGAATATACAGGTGTCTGCGGAAACCAGGGATGTCTGCGACATTGTGCAGAGGGTTATGTGAGATGAGGAAATAGAATGGGAAATAACCAAGACTTAAGGTGAGCAAAGAGGAGGAGAGTGGTAGTGTATGAACAGAGGAATGGGGACACGACAGAAAACACACTTTGGGCTCCATTCATGTAAAAGCCAAACCAAACCAAAGTAATTGGTGGTGTTAGAAGGTCAGAATAGAGGCCGCCCTGTGGGAGTCTGTGACAGGAGCGGGTCACAGGCTGACTTCCGAATGCTGGCAGTTTCGGGTCTTCCTCCGGCGCTGGCCGTGTGGGTGTATACATGTGTACAATGCACTGAGATTTGTGTACTTGATTGTAAGAATAAATTTAAAAAGTGTTAAAAAATAAGAAAGGAGGAAAGCAAGGAAAGAGGGAGGGATAAGGGGAGGGAGGAAGCGCAGGAGGGAAGAAAGTGCAAGGCTCTATTATCGGTTCAAACCCTGAGAGTGCGTCAGCAAACAACATGAGGTGGTGTAGGGCAACACGCTGTTTTTAATGAACGCATGGGTGCAGATGGGCTGAGGCCTAAAGTAGTCCCAAGTGAGGATGGGTAGGGGTTTTAGTTTCCTATAAACAAGAAGTGTCCCCAGTCTGATGTAGCTGCTACATGGTACCCAGACTGCCTCTCTATCTTCAGGGGGTACGTGTGTTCCGGCCAGCTCTTCTGGCTTCTGCTATCTTGCCGACATGCTGGTGGCGCAAGTGGCCTTGCATCTTGGGACCCGGCCTGAGAAGGGAGGAGTTATTCATCCCCCTAAGCTTTGAGGCCCCGGGGAGAATCTTTTATTCCCGTCTGTTTGGTTATAGAAAAAGGGAAAAGGTACGACTTTCTCAATAACTACTTCAGGCATGACATAGGGGGTGGCGTGTGCACCTTTGAAAAAAGAAAAAGAAAAACAATTTTTAGGATATTCTTGAAAGATGGGTTGGTACCCATCATGTGGTTGTAGCAGGAGCATTGTCTGGATTGTCTGGCGATTAACTGTAGTTTCAACAAGAGTTTTAATGGCTTTTATTACCAGTGGGATAACACAGGGGAGAAGCAGGAGGAGCCCTGTGCTGAAGATTACTGTCTCTGCCCACGTTTTAAATCTCCTAAATTAGGGAACCACCCTCCTAGGTTTGTCGGGTCCCATCCCTTCCAGGTTTGGACTGGTACATGGGCTACTTTTCTGATGGTTGAAGTGATTTCTAGAACTGCTTTTCTGTTGTCTGTCTAGGTTAAGACAACAATTGAAGATATTAAACTTAACCGCAGACCCCACCTGCTTCTGCTAATAAGTAGTCTAGCGCTAGTCTGTTTGATAAACTGCCACGCGCATTTGGCTTTGTTGTGCGAGCATTTCCAGGGCTGAGGCCGTTTGGTTAGTGATTATCTCTAGAACAGCCTGTAGTCTAATTATTCTATTACCATGAGCCAGCCTCAGCGCAAGTGGCAGGACCAGAATATTCAGTGATCGGTTGCAGAAGCCACTCCTCTTCCTGACATTTTTGGCTTCCTCCTATTTTTAAGGATCATTTTTCTCTGTTTAGGTTATCATACACAGGGACTCTGAGAGTGTTGCCTGCCTGCTTTGGAAGTAAAAAAAATCCAGGTTTAATTTTGCCTAGGAAGCAGGTACCTTGCCCGTGATGAGGTAGCCATGAGCAAGCCTGGGTTCCACATACCCAAAAGAATCCATCGGGGCATTCCATTGTAGGCTGCTGTCCATAGGGTTGTCTCATAGTGCACTTAGGCATGGGTACGCGGCATAAGGGTTGTGGTGTTTGTATAGTACCAGGCCTCTTGATGAGACATAATTGAGGTAGCTTAAGTTAGAAGGGGACCAGGCTCCATGGGGTAACTTTGGCCATTCTGCGGTGGAGGCCTTGATTGTTAGGGTTTGGTGACAGGGGCTTTCACCTACGGCGCAATGGGTTGTATTAGTCCACTTGCAGGATATGCATACCCTCCCCCTTACTGGGTTTGCAAGCGTCCAGGACTGCGGTCATTCCTGAGGGGTGAAAGTAAGGCTGGAGTTTTGGGATGCTAGTAAGTAAGGGGGAATGTGTATCCTATACCATGGCCACTGTTCACCTATACGAGCTCCCTCCCATACCCAGCAATTGGAAATGTTCATGGTAAGCACAGTGTGTTCTTCTAGATCTACAAACAGTTTTTTTCATGGCTTGGGAAGGGATACGTTTGCTTGTAGTTTTGTATAAAGGAATGGAAATACTACGGGTGATTTTTGGGGGGAGTTGTTGTTTTTGGCTTTTGCTTTGGCAATATTCTGTTCTCTCTTTATGTCTTCAAGCACTTGAGTGTTTACTTATTGTCCAATTTTGGTGAAGCAAAGCCAGTGCTTACCTTTGGGACATACAGCCCCATTAGGACTGCCAGATACTCCTAGATTTTTTACTTTATAACAACTTTTCCCTGATTCAAGACATTCCTCGACTAAGGTTCCATAACAGGATTTTTCTATATGAAGATGGTAAGTAAAGGATTGTTGCATTTTTCCTCCATAATGGAAAGACCAATTAATACGGCAGCTCAGAGGGGCTGCTGTGGACAGCAGGGCAGCTACTGACAGTATTAGGATTGTGGTGAGGGATGTTCCTGTATTAAGAATTTTGGCTGGAAGTGAGGCACAGCAAGTGGTTGCGTAGATAGCAGGCCATTTCTGGAAGCAGGTGATTAATCTTCCTTGTGTTTAGGTCTTTCTATGGGGTTTTGGTCCTTTAGAAAATTTTTGGTTAGGCCGGGTGCGGTGGCTCATGCTTGTAATGCCAGCACTTGGGGAGGCCGAGGCAGGCAGATCACGAGGTTGGAGATCAAGACCATCTTGGCCAACATGGTGAAACCCCATCTCTACTAAAAAATACAAAAATTAGCTGGGTGTGGTGGTGCTTGCCTGTAGTCCCAGATACTTGGGAGACTGAGGCAGGAGAATCATGAGCCTGGGAGGTAGAGGTTGCTGTGAGCTGAGATTGCATTACTGCACTCCAGCCCAGTGACATAGCGAGACTCTGTCAAAAACAAAAACAAAAACGTTTTTGGTTAATTTAAGCTTGGTAGGAGAAATTGGCCTGGATGAACACTTAGCTGTTGATGTTCTAGAGGAAGAAGTAGGCTTTGGGGTGAGCTTGACCCTGGTGCAATGGATCCAGTGGGGGAGTCTTTGGACTCTCACCGCAGTTGGTGTGCTGAGTATCACAGTGTAGGGGCCTGTGCACTTCGGTTATAGCTTTTTATGGGGGTCGGGTTGGCAGATAAACACGTCTGTGCCTGCAAGACAGTTATGGTGAGAGGACAAGGAGGTGTCGATGGGGAGAGGCATGGCCTCATTTGTTGCTTCACGGATGAAAGACCTTGTCTGGATTAGGGAGGGGAGGTAATTCCTGAGTGGCTCAGAGCCTGGTAATGGTGGAGGCCCTAAGACAAAAGTTTGGCTGTACATGATTTCCAAGGGACTATAAAAAGAGGGTGCTTTGGTGTGGTGCAGAGTCTCATGAGGGTGAAGGGGAGATTTCTTGTTCATGACTGGCAGTTTTCTAGAGCCAGCTTGGTGAGTTGGGCTTTAAGGACAGAGTTGACTTTTTCAATTTTGTCTGAAGATTGAGGCCTATAGGGTGTGTGGAGAACTCATTTTATTCCTAAAGATGTAGAGACAGCTTGGGTAATTTGGCTGATAAAGGCGGGCCCATTATTGGACTAGAATGGATGCTGGGAGTTCGAAATGGGGAATTATATGCATGTTGAGAGTTTGCTAGATAATATTTGCACCTTCTGAAGTTGTTGGGATGCTTCTACCCACCTGGAGAAAGAGCAGTCAAAGACTAGAAGATAGAGGAGCCATTTATCGGGTGGCATGTGAGTGAAGTCTGTTCGCCAGTCCTGCCTGGGTACCTGGCCTTGGGCTTGGTGGGTAGGAAGAGGCGGTGGCTGGAGGGAGCCCCGGGGTTACATGGAGTGACGGATAGAGCAGGACTGGGTAATCTCTCAAACACACCTGGAAAGGTGAGGACAAGTGAGAATAGGGCAGAGAAGTTGCAAGAGAGGTTTGTAACCCATATGGAAGGAGCTGTGGAGGCTTTGGAGGATAGGGATTGTTTGAGAGTGGGGAAGAATGAAGCACCCTTCCTTGACCTACCATGGTCCCTGCTTTTGAAGGTTTTGGGCTTGGAAGTCCTCCTTTTCTAAGGAGTAAAGAGGCGAGAATGAGGACAGGGACAGAAGCTGGCCATGCACAGGTTGTAAGGCTACTTGTTTGGCAACCTGATCTGCTGGAGCATTTCCGGCCATTGTAGGATTGTCTGGGGTTTGGTGGCTCCCACAATGGATGATGGCAACTTTCTGCAGGAGTCTGGCAGCTTGAGGGAGTTTGCTGATGAGAGAGCCATTTATGACATGAGTGTTTTTTGCAGTGAGGAAAGCCTGTTCTTTCCAGATGGACGAGTGTGAGTGCACGATGTGGAATGCATAATGAGAGTCTGAATATATGTTAACTTGTTGTCCGGCTGCTAGAGTGAGAGTGATGAGCTCATATTTTTGGGAGGTGGTGCCTAGGGGAGCAGATTGGCTTCAGTAGTGTCGGGGGTGACACTGTAGCATAGCCAGCATGTCGGCGTCCTTGATGTAGGTAGGAACTGCCATCTACAAACCAAGTAAAGGAGGCATCTGGACGGGGTTGGTCTGTTAAGATTTCGAAAGGGTGTAAGACAGGTTTAAACGGTGTCTGCACAGAAGTGTGCAGCGTCTTGGGAGGTAAGTAGCTTCAGGTAAGAGTGTGGCCAGATTTAGATGGGAGCTGTTTAGCATTGAGGAGTCTCTATGAATAAAGCGTACAGTTGGAGGAGCCATGGGGCAGAGATGAGACTTAGTACACTGCGGAGAGCTAGCATATCTTTGATGTTATGGGTTGAATAAACTGTTCGGTTGGCGTGAAGAGATAGTTTTAGGCTTTCAAGAGTGAGGACAGCAGCTGTCACCAATGGTTGGAGGCAGTCAGGTCACCTGAGTACTGTGGCTTCAAGTTGTTTAGAGAGGCAACAACCTGGAGGGTGGGTCCCTTAGACTGGGTTAGAACACCTAGTGCAACTTCACCTTCGTCAGTAGAGAAGGAGAGGTTTGGCGAGGTCTGGGAGAGTGAGGACAGGGGCTGAGGTGAGAGCCTTTTGGAGTAGACGGAAGGGTTAGGTAATAGGCTGTATAGGGTTTAAAGGCTCATGGAGAGGGCCTTTAGCAGCTTTGTATAACGGTTTGGCAAGTAGAGTGAAGGAGGCAGTCCAGAGCCTAAAGTATCTCACTAGTCCTAGAAAAGAGAGAATTTCTTGCTTAGTTTGCAGAGGCGGGAGGGACTGGAGCCAGGGATATGTGGTCAGCTGTGAGCCCCTGGGTGTGTGGAGTAAGGGCCAGGCCTAGGTAGGTGACTGAAGAGGTGTATATTTATTTGTTCCTTTTTAGGGGAGACCCAATACCCCCATTCTGCCAGGAAGTTTAAAAGAGTGGTAGTATGGGCATTGCAGTCTTTTTGAGAAGGGCTACACAGGAGTAGGTAATATATTGAAGGAGAGTGGACGGTTTTAGGCATACGGTACAGCGGTCACGAGCAAGGCCCTGTCCAAAAAGGTGGGGGCTGTCTCTGAGATCTTGAGGTAGTAAACACCAGGTGAGCTGGTATGAAAGGTGTGTGTTGGGGTCTTCCCATGTGAAGGTCAAGAGGTTTTGAGAATCAGGGTTCAAAGTAATTGGGAAAAAAAGCATCCTTTACATCAAGGACAGAAAAATGGGTGGTATTAGAGGGAATTGTGGAAAGTAGAGTGTATGGATTAGGAACTACTGGACATACTGGGAGTACAGCTTGGTTAATGAGCCTGAGGTCCTGGACTGATAAGTTCCATCTGACTTTTTGACAGGTAGAATTTGTGTGTTAAAAAGAGGAGTTTGTTGGGTGGAGTAGGTTCCTGGTGAGGAGGTGAGAAATGATACAAGAGGTTTTAGGTCTACAAGAGCTGCTTGGGGGTTGGATGCTGCTTCTGTGATAGGAACTGGGTGGAGTTTTTAAAGGTAATGCAGACGGGGGTGTGGTGTTTTGTGACTGAGGGTGTGAAAGTATCCCAAACAGCGGGGTTAGCTACAGACGGGGGATAAGGGAAGGTTGCATGTTTTAGGGTGGGAGGTTGGAAAGTTAGAAGCACCAGAGGGGCCTGGGTGGACGTGTTGGTTACTGTGGGGAGTGTGGAAGTGGAGAGTGGTGTGGAGTTTTGAAAGGATGTCTCTGCCTAGGAACTGAGTTGGGCATGAGGGCAGGACTAAGAAAGAGTGAGTGAAGGAAAAGGTGTGCAGGGAGCAGAAGAGTGGACGGGTGGCTTGGGGTTTGGAGACTTGTCCATCAATTCCCAAAACAGACTTGGGTGGACTGGGTGGGTCCTAAAAAATTAGGTAAAGCAGAGTAGGTTGCCCCAGTGTCAGTTAAAAAACATCCTGGCCTACCTGCCACCATCACGGTTACCCTTGGCTTGGATGAAGAGATGGTAGTTGCTGGGGTGTCCGTTGGAGGGCACTGTCAGTCTTCAGCGGCGAGGCTGATGAGATCCGAGCAGGGGCTTTTGGCTGGTTCAGGAAGGGATGGGGGCGGTCCTTGCAGGGGCCACTCACAGTCCGACTTCCAGTGTGGTCCTCTGCAGAGGGGGCATGGCCTGGTAGGCTTACCTGGGTTTGGGCATTGTCTGGCCCAGGGGCCTTCATTGCCACACTTGAAACAGGCACCGGGTGGAGGTAGATTACTAGGAGCCCTCCGTGTGGAGCTGTGGCCCTGTGGGCCTGCAGGGTCCTGATGGCGGTGGCTAGCATTTGAAACTCTGCCTGTTTTCGCCTTTTACTTTCCTCATCACGATTGTTAAAAACTTTGAAGGATAAATTAAGAAGGTCTCATTGTGGGCTTTGAAGGCTGTCATCAAGCTTCTGAAGCTTGTGCTGGATATCGGGGGTGGATTGGGAGATGAACTGGAGGTTTAAGATAGTGGTTCCTTCTGGACTGGCTGGGTCTAGGTTCGTAGAGTTTCTCATGGCTTCAGTTAAACGAGAGAGAAAAAGGGCTGGGTTTTCGTTGGGACCTCGGGTGATTTCTGAGTTTTTCATATTTGACTGCTTTATGGCCACCTTTTTTGAGTCCTGTGAGGAGACACACAATCATGTGGTCCTGATGGTGGTGTCCAGGGACTCTCTCTTGATAATCCCAGTTGGGGCCCTGCTTAGGGACTGCCTCTATGTCAGTAAGCTGTGCAGGAGCCTGGTGGTGAATTGTATCAGCATGTGCCTGAAATAGGGTCCAGATACGACAGTTCCGGTCTTCTGGGGTGAGGGTGGAAGAGAGGGTAACGTAGAGGTCATGCCAGGTTAGTTCATAAGACTGGGTAAAGTATTGAAACACTTAGGAGGTAGGGTCTTCTGGAAATGAACCGAGTGTTTTGTTAATTTGAAAGAGATCAGAGAGGGAGAAGGGAACATGAACTCTTACAACACCTTCAGTTCCTGCTACTTCCCAAAGGGGGCACTCTAGCACAGGTGCTGAATTAGGGGTGGGGCACGGGCCAAAGATGGCACCTGAGTGAGTATGGGTGGGAGAGAAGAACCTGGAAGTGGTTCCTGCTGAGAGTTCGAAGGGGGAGGGGGGTTGAGTTAATAGGCAGTAAAGGATAAATAGCGGCA